AAGTATATGAAGGCTTCACAGGATAATCTATAAGCCTTATGCTGAATTTGACTCAAAAACTTGCCGACTGGATTAACTAATTAAGAAAATTAACTCTAGCGGGTGGCAAAAAAGATAGGGACAGTAATCCAATTTACTAATTTCTCGCAGATTTCAGCCTAAATCAGGGTATAAAATGAATGCATATTTAAAATAGACCATCAGTTCACAAATTTTGTTTCAACTGTCAAGTTAATTTCTTATTTTTTGTGTAATTTAACAATGGGTCGTGGTACAACTTTAACCCCTTACGAAATCGGTCAAATTGAGGCTTACCGTGAATCAGGTGACTCAATTCGAACCATTGCTGACAAAATAAATAGGTCACCAAATGTGGTTCACAATTTCCTCAAATTAGGTGAAAATTATGGCAAATCTAAGTCGCCAGGAAGACCATCAAAATTGTCTCAACGTGATCGTCGAAGTATTCTGAGGCTAGCATCTGAAGGGAATTCATCATGCAAACAAATTCTGAGTGATACCGGTCTTGAAGTTTGCCGTAGGACTGTTCTTAATGTTATGCATAGCTCTGAAAATTTGGATATGCAAGTATGGAGCGAAACCTAGACTGACTGATGGACATAAACAAGCTCGAATGCAGTTCGCAAAAGATTACATGACTTGGGACCAGGAATGGATATCAGTGATATTTAGTGATGAAAAGAAGTTCAACTTAGATGGACTGATGGTAAGAAGTGCTATTGGCATGATCTTCGCAAAGAAAAGCAGATTTTTTCGAAGAGAAACTTTGGTGGTGGATCGTTGATGGTTTGGGGTGCATTTTGCTTCAATGGTGTGCTTCCTTTGGCTAAAATTTCATGCAGAATGAACTCTGATGATTATCAACAGGTTCTTACAGAACACTTATTACCAAATGGTACTTCAATGGCTGGAGATAAATGGAAATTTCAGCAAGATAATGCGTCCATACACGTCAGCAACGCAACGAAATCTTTTCTTGAAGCAAATAAAATTGATTTGATAAGATGGCCAGCTTGCTCACCTGATCTCAACCCTATCGAAAATTTATGGGGAATAATTGTTCAAAAAGTTTATAAAAATAATCGAAGTTATTCATCAGTTAATGAACTTTGGGATGCAGTTCAGGATGCCTGGTATACAATTGAGCCTGAAATCATCCAGAATCTGATCAACTCAATGAAAAACAGAATTTTTGAAGTAATTAGTTTAAATGGGAGTCAAACTCATTATTAATAAGCAGAAAAATTGTTTAAACCAGTTTTTGATTGATTTTTTAGATTTTGTCCCTATCTTTTTTGCCACCGATTTTTTTGATTTTTGACTAATTTTGACAATAAACTAATACTAATCAATTTTTTTTCACAAAATCGTCAACTTATATATTAATCACTTGACAGATCAAGTCTCATCATAAATTAACCATTCTTTATCAAGAAATCCACCAAAACCATAGTGTCCCTATCATTATTGCCCTTAGTGTATTATAATATCGATAATTGATTGCAATTGATTTAATTATTGATCACAATTCAAACATTGAATCGCTAGCAATAATCATAGTAATCCGTGTGTCTAGAACAAGTCTGGCCATTACCAGATATACATGCAAATTCTGAGATGAAAACGAATCTTGAATATTTGCGATTCGAGTACTCGGGTAATTTTCATTCAGCTGCTACAACTTTAATACGCCACCATTTTTGAACTTTCACTAATTATCTATTTCATTAATTTTTACATCACTCGACAATCTGTCACAAGTCTGAAACCATGACGAATTATTATGATTTAATAGCGACAGAAATAAACACAACGAGATTGTATTTATCAAGTGAAGGTCATTGAAGTTTACTGTAAACATCATAATAAGAGAAATATTTTCATTCAATACTG